TCTCTTTTTCATACTTTATGGACACAGGAAACTCATCCTTTCTATTGAGGTTAAGGATATATGACCTCCCATCACGCTTAGCATTAGCCAAAAATATCTTGTACTGCGGGTCAGTTTCATCCTCAACCTCATCATAGCTGACATCATCTCCATGTTCATTTGTGTATGACTGAGAATTTATATCATAGTTGTAGAGTAGCTTCAAAAACTCAACATAATCTTCATCAGCATTCTCTAATCTTGAAATCTTTTGCGTGAGATTGTCACTAATCTTTACTTCACCGGAATATTTTGCTCTCTTTCTGTTTCCACGTCTTGCTTCATAATCATCATCATAATTCCTCAATCCTGGTCGCCCCATTATAATGGAATTCAGCTCCAACAAACGAACAGCTCACAACAAAAATTCACTGTTATTTCACCCCAATTTCCCTCATTCATAGACATAGAGAAAGAGTAAAAAACTTCATAAATTTCACCATCTACATGAAGTGCAAGAATTTTTCTGAAAACTCCAGCTGCTAGAAAACAAAAGGAATAGTCAATGTCCATAAAAAAACATATCATAAAAAATGGAAAGAATATAATCAATGTCCAAGGACCCAAAATCCATGAGAATGAAAAAAATAGAATCCTAGAACTCGTGTATGTACATTTATAGTTATATACATAATCCATGTGTTGTGCACTTAAACAAACTCTTCATTGCCTTGTCATACCACCATTAGATGGTATGCCATGGGTATTGGGGACTCTGTAGGGATGTTTCCAAATACACTACAAACTTTCTCAAAGTTGAACACACTCGCACTAGATATATACGGACACAATGTGTCTACTAAATATTCGTACCTAAGTAAATCAAAGCTTCTTTTTTTATAGAGGGGTTCAAATCAACATGTGCACGCCTCAACTATTCCTTCAAGTACCTATTAACTTCCACCACCAACACAGGTATCCACTAACACTAAATCGTGGTATCCCGTGGTTTTCACCAACTTCATTGACTGCTAGGTACACGTAAGTTTGTCAATAATACTTCAAAAGACTTTTCATTCAAGGTTCATATACTCGGGAACTAAAATCCAAGAACTCAAGATGTATAGAATTATTTGTTTGATAACTATGGTATTCGGGCCCGCTTTCGCACACCTCAACTAATTCCATAGGATACATGTCACCTCCCACCAACAACAAGTACAAGATAACTCTGTCCACCAAGGCTAGGACAAACTCAAGATGTATAGAATACCCAAAAGAAAATGAAAAAAAAATCTATTTTCTTTCCATACTTAAGTTTGATGTGTTTTACTTGAGCCAAATATCTATTGAAATCCGTCTTTCTACCTTCCCAAGGTAGGGCTAAGACTACGTAATTACCACACTCCCCACCTGTGAGATTACATTGGGTTTGTTGTTGTTGTTTAGAAAATTTAACTATCATGGTAATCTTATCATCAAACTGGGAAAAGGGTTGTGCTTAGGGGGACCTAAAATTACAATTTTATATACAAAGATCAAATTTTTTTAACATATATATACACATATAACAAAAACAAACACATGGGTATAAACAAGAAATCAAATGTATACCATTTAGTGAAAAGAAAAACAGACAAATACACACTCAATCGTGAACAATACCAAGAAATAAACTCAAGAATCCAACAAAAAGGGCTTTTAGTAAAGAAAAAGAAATGTGAAAATTTTACCTGCAAATAAGAGAAAAGATAAAATACCCACAATAAGTTTTCTCTGTGTTGTCTGAAGAAGAAGTGAAGGAAGAAAAGAAAAATGCTTTAATGGCGAAACGGAGCACTTGTTCCTATGGAAAGCCGTCTTATTTTTGGCTCCAAACATCTTTTCATTACGGAGATTTCGAGATTCAAATAACTCTATCAAAAATTTTCATAGATTTGTTTGACTCTCGAAAATGAAAAGCATCATGTAAATTGGGACAAAGGGGTACTAACTTTTTTTTTCTTATTCTTGATCTGTATCCACGTTGGAATCCGATTAAATTTAGATTCGCGACAATTTGACTTTTCATTGTTATTTTTTTTTCAACCTTTGTTTGGTATCCACATTGAGTCTCGTGTCGATTTTTGTTGCAAACTTCTTTTCATTACTTTTTTTTTCTTCGCTCCCTAACAAAAGTGAGTTTGTATTCTGAGGACTCGAACTTGAGACTCTGATTAATGATGAATGAGTATTTACCACTCCACGACAATTCTTGTTAGTCTTTTCATTATTGTTCGTCACTTCTTTTCCCCTTTTTCTTTTTAAAACTACACAGTTTATGAGATTATATTGAATATGTTGTTATTGTTATTATTACCTAGCTTGATTTGATGTGAAGGATATATAGGTAATATGTAAGAGTATATCTATATTAGTAGGTACATATTGATTTGTTGTCCATTCTAGTAGTCACAGTGTTACTATTGTTTCTTGTTCTTTTATTTCAATCTATTTTTGTTTCGTGTAGTTTGATTATAATATTATTTTGTTATAGTATTGATTTGCTACTTTCTGTTATTTTATTATTGCTTGTTGTTTTCTTTAATTTCATTATTTATTTTTCTCGATTGTGTGTATTTATGATTTGACGTAGAGGGACATTTTATTCTCCTTAAATCTCACATTATGCAACAATAATGGTAATTATTGTTGTATTTGCTAAAAATTAATAACTACACCCTGTTTCTAATAGACTTCCGGTTCAACGAAAAAATATGTTCAAAAGTAATCCTAAAAAAAAATAACAGAAGTACACGAAACAACATATAGTAACAAAAATAAAAAATAGTAACAGAACAAAATTACAATAAAATAATACGATAGTTGAGACACAAAAAATAATATATCCCCCATCGTCTCACTAGCCGACCTTGACCCCTGTTATTTTGAGGTCATATCTAGTATTCAGAGTTTGCCTCGATTTGGTACTGCTCTCGCGGCTAATAACAGAAAGTAAGTAACAAACTAATTATACGACCAATAATGCGATTACCAAAAAAATATTTTGAATCAATAGTAATAAAAAAATAAAAAAATTACACAACCAAAAACACGATTACCAGAAAAAAATTCTAAATCAAAAATAATAATATAAAAAAAACTACAAAAATAACACGACAATTGAGGTACAAAAATTAACAAATAGTAACAAAAGGTAAAGGACAAAAAGTTACACGACCAAACAACAAGAATATTAGCAAGACGATGCATGATTACCTACTACTTACTATTACTATTAGTGAGAAAATTACTATAAAATAAAAGATAGGGAATCGAAATATAATACGATGAAGTTATGGTAAAATAAATAAATTGCTATAGTCATATTTGGCAAATTATCAGCAATTTTATTTTCTTTATTTTATATGTGTTAACAATTGTATTACCAACTCCAAGCCATTAATAATTGTTCATTAATACTGAGTTAAGTATGTTGATTTGCCTTTAAAGTTATTTATTATTATAAATTTTGAAACGTTTGCTATGATTGTCCCAATTTTGGATTTTTTTTTTTTTGTTTATTTGTTTTTATTATCTTATTTACTGGCATATTTACATAATAATATAATTTTGTCATTAGCTTGTCAATTAGTTTAGTATTCTTAGTCATTATTTTCTTACCCTTAAAATAATTTTTGTTTGTTCAATTTTATTCCTTTTTTTCACATTCTTTAGTAGTCTAAATTTATGAATAGTGCTTAATGTATACTTTTTATTTTCTTTATTTTCAAAATTAGATATCAACACTTTAGCACTATTAATGATATCCAATCGTTTTTTCAAAAAGAAAAAAGATTTTTCTCAACCATTTGAGTTCGAGTTTTGTAATTCACATTGTGATCGTTATATAAACGTTTACCCATTAGAGAAAATCAGCATTACAATCGAAATATATGAACATTACAATTCCTCTCTTCAGAGTAAGAATATATTTTTATATATAAAATGTCATTCATGAATATATTTATCACATAATCATGTATTTAAAATAAGCATTTAATTACTACAATTAAGTTGCTTTATTTGACATAAATATCATACATGAATAAGTAATTACCATCTGTAACATCCCTTTATTGTTTCTTTTACTTGTTCTAGTTTTTCTAATATAAAATTTTCCTTGTCAAAATTACTAGTTCATATCGTTTTGAGATATTTGAAAATTCACGATAAGTATAATTAACAAAAGTATCCTCAAGGAAGCAAATGATAATATCTAGGGAATAAGCATCGATTTATTCTGTGCCAGTCAATCACCATAGTAAAAATACAAAACATTATCCAGAGTGGTGATTGACATAAAGCGTCTATAGGTGGCTTTTTAAGTCCCCCATCAAATCCCAGGGCTTAGCAACAATCGAACAAGTGGGGAATGTTGTGGAACCAGAAAAGGTTGGGTAGATCTGGATATTTATCCAGTAGTCGAATCAAATTGGCATCAATAACCAAATTAAAGTATCGATGCATAACAATAATATCACCATTAAGTATCTAGGGGAATAAGCATCGATTAACTCTGTGTTAGCCAACAACCATAGTAATAGTACAAAGCATTATCCAAAGTGGTGATTGGCATAAAGCGTCTATAGGTGGCTTTTTAAGTCCACCGTCACATCCCAGGGCTTTAGCAACAATCGAACAAGTGAGGAATGTTGGGGTGAACCAGAAAAGGTTGAGTAGAGCTGGATATTTATCGAGTAGTCGAAAGAAATTGACATCAATACCCAAATTAAAGCATCTATGCATAACATTTAGTAAAAGTTGGAGAAAGTATCCAGAAACTATCACCATTAAGTATCTAGGGGGATAAGCATCGATTAACTCTGTGTTAGCCAACAACCATAGTAATAGTACTAAGCATTATCCAAAGTGGTGATTGGCATAAAGCGTCTATAGGTGGCTTTTTAAGTCCACCGTCACATCCCAGGGCTTTAGCAACAATCGAACAAGTGAGGAATGTTGGGGTGAACCAGAAAAGGTTGAGTAGAGCTGGATATTTATCGAGTAGTCGAAAGAAATTGACATCAATACCCAAATTAAAGCATCTATGCATAACATTTAGTAAAAGTTGGAGAAAGTATCCAGAAACTATCACCATTAAGTATCAAAATTCAAAAAAATGGACCTGAGAACTATTCGAATACATAGAGAAGAAGACTTCAGCTGATCAATCTTCTCAAAACTAATAATCCATCCATGTCTCAGTTTAAGCTACAAGTGTACTTGCCGTGGTAGACTCACTGTAAAATAATGAAAACATTCATAATCAGCAAAAAGGTTGTTTATAGGAACGCTAGAATACACTAGCTTGATCAATTCATCGAAGGGATTCAAAATATAAGTAAGTAAACACATGAAGAAGATGAGGTGATTCAACATCTATTTTATATACATAAAAAAATTGTTTAGACCTAGTATCTACCAACATTATCAAAGGCATGCTTAAAGTGTGCTTAAGCCCTAAAGCGAGGCCTGAAACGAGTTGTGCGCTTCATCTCACTTAATGCGAGTTCAATGTCATCATCAAGGTTCCAAGGCGTTTTCTTGCCAAGGAGCATCTTTTGAAGAGGTGACACTAAACAATTGATATTTTCACTTTAGCATAGTTTTTTTCTCTCAAATTCTTTGTTGAAATATTTGTTACTCATGCTTATAAAGGGTTTCTTCATATTAATTAGCCAATAACAAACTACTGCTCTCTAAAAATCCGAAAACACTTCTAAAAAAAAGCACTTCTCAAAGTAGATTTTGAACCTGGCCAAACAGGCTATGTGCAGTCTTGAGTTAGTGCAAGCTGGCTCCTGAAGAAAAGGTACTGACGAGAGTGTGGAGACTACGAAAAAGGCTACTTGGACTATAGTTAAGCGGTCTTGAGGGAATAAGGGTAACTTGGCTGTGGTAACTTCCAGCCAAAGTATAATGAAATACTGAAATTTTATGAACTAAAAGTCGTATCAAAAGTTTACGAGTAACAACAAAGAGGTTTTAACCCAAGTATGCAAATCAAACCCAATGACTAGTTTTTTCCGGGGTGGAACAAATCAGCATCAAACTATAGCAACATGTCAATAAATGTTTGGCCTTCAAATTGGTACCAGAATCATACTAGTAAACCAGCATTTTAGCTCGACTCTTCAAAAAAGTCCTTACCAGGATGAATAAGAACTGACTAAAAGGTATCTCATTTGGAGTAGTAAGATAGGAATACAACAAAGAAAGCAATGTTTCATCTTTATTCTTCAAAAAGATCCTTTCCATGTGGAACAAATATGCACCATAACTAGCGAATCATAATTTAGAAGCCATTCATGTTGAACCGCACAAGAAAGGAATAGACAGGGAACATTAAGATAGGTTATCTTTAAAAAGATACAGTACTAATGTTCTATCTATTCCTTCTCTTTTCTTACGGTTCATCCAATCCCTTAATCATATAGCAAGCATAAGCCACAAAGAATCACACAACCACAAAAGTTAAAGATTAATATTTCTGAAAATAACGGACCCTAGAAGCAACCAAACCACGGAATAAGGGAAAATGCAAAGTCACATTGTTAGGAGTGAAATAGAGAGACTTACTATTTCCAGACAGGTGGAAGCTTCTTAGTTTTCTTGTAATAACGAGCAAGGCGGTGAATCCTACTCTCCACCAAAATCAAGCGGAACTTGGAATCCTTGTCCTTTCTGTTCCTCTCCAAATGCTTCCTGATGGCAACTGCCTTCTTAATAAGGTGGTATAGATCCTCCGGGATCTCAGGAGCAAGTCCTATCCAATTGTCAAAAAAAATACATATATTAAATCAATCAACTGCTCATTAATTCCAAACTAAACAGTGAATTATCGATATATTCCATACTATTGGGGCACATTTCCTTCTAATTGATATATTAAACCAAATTTTATTTAAATATAACCACAATTGAATTTCTAGCAGCATTGATGATCTGGAAAAATATAATAAAATACCGTGAGCTTTGAGGATACGCAAAATCTTGCTCCCAGTGACACTCTTAACTTGAGCAATTCCATGAGAATCACGAAGAATCACACCAATTTGTGAAGGTGTCAATCCTTTTTTCGCAAACTTGCAGATATTGTCCTCAACCTAAAATTATCAAAACACAATCATTCATATATTTGATCTTAACATCTATTTGTTCGTTGTTCCTATATGAAGATGTACACATTAACAGCTTGTTTGGATGGTTGTTACCTAAACACAATCATTCATTTATTGATCTTAATATCTATTTGTTCGTTGTTCCTATACAAGGATGTACACATTAACAGCTTGTTTGGATGGCTGTTACCTGTTGAATTATATTGTTAATTTAAATACAATGTTTGTTTTGATTGTTATTTAAAGTTTATTGTATTGTATCGTTAAATCCATCATTACCTAATGATGAAATGTACCCATTTCATGTAACGACTAATTTGGTGTGATCGCATTGTTACCTTATTTTTTTCTTCTCATTTTATCTGTACTTATATCTAATAGTCTTATTCTATCTTCTTTTGCCAATTCTTTTGAATGAAGCATCTTCTAAGCAGAATCACTTGCTCACTATGTATACACCTTAATAACTCGTTTGGACATTTCACTATTTATACCCTATCTTTTTTATAATAACTCTAACCTGTGCCCTACTTTTCTTATAAGTAGGTATATTTCAAATTGCACATGTATGCCGTTATGTAACCACGGAAAACTATACAATCTACCTAAAAGTTGCATTCATCAATACAATACGACACAATATATTATGAAAAGATATGTAACAACCATTCAATCAAAGCATAAGGGACTGTTTGGACATATAAAGTTTATTGCTTATACATTGAAGTGAACTCTTTTCACTAATAAAACTTCAACATTCCAGATACACAAATTCAATTTTCCTATATATTTTTTTAACTTAATTTAAATACTAAAATTTTCAAATATCACCAAATTCATGTCCAAACGCCTATTAAAAACAGAAAACAACAAAAGAGTAGATAATTTACATCTGGAGCGGAGATCTTAAGCCAACTGGGAGGAGTTCTCTTGTAAGGAAGAGCCGACGCTGAGATACCCTTACTGAAACCCAACAAACGAAAAAATGGTGAAAAAAATAATAATTTTGCTTCGAAGTAAGACTATCGAGAAAATACTCACCCGCGACTGTGCATACGACCCATGGCGAAGATTAGAGTGAGCTCACTGAACTGTGTTGCTCAAAGCGTTGCTTCAGTCGGTTGAAGGAAGTTAACATACCCTAAAAGGTATTTTCTTTTAGGGTTTATGGGAGCAGTCGGTATTTTGGGCTTCAATTTTGCTGAAAGGATTGGGCCGTTAAATTCTGGGTCTGGCTTCTTCAGATATCCAACGGGTCATTTGCACTTTTGTTCCTATTTTGTGTTGAATTTTAATTTATGGAAATAACAAATCATTTTTTTCGCGAAACGTAACTTTATGCTTTTTGTATCGTATAACTTATGCTTCATCAGACATAAATTAAATCGCAATCTTAACAACACGCTGTCAAATCGTGCAAGTCTAGATCAAAAACTGATAATATGCTTTGTGCTCTTTTAGGAGTCATTCAGGTTGAAATGACACTAGGTAACCCCTCATGATTGGGTGATTTACAAAAAAAGTAACTTTAAAAGTGAATGATCTTGAACTTTTAACCTTGCTTTGTTTCAAAGGCAAAATTTATAATTTAACAAATTTGGCTTTTCAAGTTTGAAGATCTAGTTATTTGACAAGTGAGCGTTACAAAAGTACAAGATCATTTATTTCCGATGTCATTAGGCGTAATTCCGTGGCTGTAGTACCCCCAATGTATAATATACTATTTGGTTTGTACAAATTATTTAAATTTAACTGATTTTTGACAAATTTCTGGACTTGCTGCTACTTCTTCTTGAAGGTTTGAACTTTGAACTCCTATTTTGACAGTTATGTTTTGTTCAAGTAGTAATAAGATGATTGTAATATTTGCATAGCACCGAGTGCAAATTGTCATCCTTTAACATTCACAACAACAACATACCCAATGTAATCTAGAAGGTAATGCGTACGCAAACATTACCCCTACCTTGGGGGTAGAGATGCTTTTTTTCCCGATAGACCTTCACTCAAGTAAAAGCAGTTCAAAAAACAACCCTTTAGCATACACTAGCAGAAATAATACTATCAAAGCATACGGTTCTTGCTATTTTGATTGATGTTACATGAAAATTACTCCATAAATACACATAAAAATTCATCACTACAACAAGTAAAAGCATTGACGCGCTGAGTTAAAGATACATGGCATCTGAACTATACATAACTGGTTTAACATTGCAAGAAGCGATTGTATACCACATACCCGGATATAATCCAAACATCTGAACAATGAGTTGCTCCATGACAGTGCAAGGGGAAAATACAATAAAATCGACGATTAGCAAAATGGCTAATGAAAGATACACTTAAACATACAAATGAAAGGGCAAAGCTACCAAGGGCAAAGTTAGGTCCTGTTTCTTGCTATTGAGTAATATAGCCAAAGATGCAAATCTCCTGCAAGTAAGAATTAGGCAAAGTCAGGAAAGTTAAGAACATTTAACTCAATCTTATTACGATCAAAATTAAGCATGATACATGTCATCTCTTATAACTTCTTACTCCTGCATCTTAACACCAGCAAATAACTTGTTTCCATCCCGCCTAAAGTTTATTCTTAGTGTTAAATATATTAGGTTACAATACATAAAGGTCATGATTCCCCCAACCTCCCAACACCAAATATGGTGGTCAAGTTAAGCAATTTGGAGGCAGCATTTACTCGGTTATAACTATATAACTAATTATCAGTCTTACATGTTGTCTATTTCTCAAAACTCAAGTTATCTTTGAGTTTTTTTATGGTGGTGTCCGAGCAGCTTTCTTTGTACCTTGACTATACCACCAGGGTATTTGTTATTTGTTATCTCTGAATTGTATACCGGGCAACTTTGTCTATCAAGGGTTAGGTAGATGGGAAAGAAATCATCAAGCGTTCTTTCCTTTTCCTAGGGTTTGAATTGTGGTCTTCCATGATTAAAATCTCACTTTATTGACCACTAGGTCACACACTTAAGTTTTTAAAAGTTATCTTTGATTTGATTTTTTAATAACGGAGGTATCCAAGCCATCACGTGAGCACCTCAACTGTAAGCAAAAATATAAAGGAATAACAATGGTGTTTAGGTTTAACTGAAATGGTTAATTATAAAGTTTCTTACTTTCAAAGATGCAATTCAAGGGATCTGCTGCAGAAAATTGGTTATATCCTTTTAATTCTACTTTCCATTCTCTATCGTTGCTTCTTATATTTTTGTTTTTTCCCATCATTTTTCAAGTCATTTTAGTGAGTGCTTAGTAAGTCGATTATTCATCACTTAAATGAACCATCCAAAGTTATTGTTCCCTTAACATTCACATACAACAAATGAAGTTGCATAGGTATTAAGAAGAACATTCTTTCTCAAAGAAAAGGTATTAAGAAGAACATCATTCTAGCTTCATTTAACAAAGTCACATGCGCGGAAAAAACAACGATGCAACTCGTAGGATGAAGCTAATCTCTCCCTTTTCTAAACCGACTAAAATGCATAACCATGGAAGATCCAAAGCGATGCTTATCATTTTATTTTTTTTGATAAGTTAATGTGTAGCCCTATTCTCATTCATTCTGAATGCACCAAAAAGCTATCTGAAAATCACCATTTATGATGAGGATCACCCTTCTTAGCCATTTCTCACAACATTACATTGCAGCAACTATTCAGCACCTACATTCCTCAAATAGCCATTCAATATTGTGCCCACCCCACTTGTCGTTGTGCACTTACCTTAGATGAGTTTTTTTAGCATATCAACCATCAAAAGATGAAACACCGAGATTTTCCCCAAAAAGGCTCGACACAAAATATTTTTCAACATGAAATATAAATACAAAACATGTGGCCAAAGGTGGATCCAGGATTCCAAATTTATGGGATCTAAATTTTATAACGATGACTTTAATTGGTAATAACTGTGCTCTAAATTTAATATGTATACATATTTAATGAATTTTTCAACACAAATGCACTATTTGAACAAAAGCCACTTGATTCAACTGAACCTGTATCCGGGCTTCTATCTCTACCTGTGCATGCAGCAACTGCAACTAATCTTCAATCCTTTAGGGGGATGTATATAGCTCCAACCGAAAAACAAAGAGGGGGCCAGGTTAAAAAAGAGTGAAGATGCACTTGTAGACATTGAAATTTTGTGGACTCTACAAGACGTGTTCAATTTGAATTGGGACTCTAGAAGGTGTGTTCAGTTTCAATTAGAATTCTTGGAGGCTACTCAACCCTAAATCCTAGTTCATGTCTATATAAAGGGTACTAATTCCCTTAAAAGACATCTCAAAATATCCCATAAACTCTTGGGTATTTTTTAAAGATCAAAAATCTCGAATATTCCACAAAAGTCATGGAATATTCATATAGAGGTCAAATCTAAATCATCCTAGTTCGAGAAATACGCTACTAACGACCCTCGAATCATGATTTGGATAAATCATAGGAGAGTAGAATCAAGGGAGAAACAGAATTGTACCCGCATATTTATCAATAAAGTTATGTTTCTTCAGATTTTATTTATGTGGTTTATTTATTTTCCATATGTTTAAAATTTGTTGCAAACAACACTATTCTACCCAAACCATGTACATTATAAAACTTGCACTTATAGTTCAGCATAACCTTGATCATGTCAAGTTGAGCTCAAGCTCATGTACTTGCCACGGTTTTTTCTCTCTTTCTAGGATATTGGTGGTGTTAGAGCTAGCTAGCATGATTCTCGACTATTCTACCAAGTACATGCATCCTCCAAACCAACTATACCACTTATTTCCTCTACCTCTTTGCTTTCCAAATATAAAATTGCAAAGTAGGCATCAGCACAACAACAAAGGTCTTGAAATTGGCGCGTTGGTTCAGCATTCGTTTTTATTGTTTGAGGTCGGATGTTCGAACCTCAACCTAAGTATAACTTTACAAAATATAACATGCTATTACTTAAGATTGTGGCTAAGTAGTATTGAGCCCAAGAGCTCTTCCAGCTTAAGGCTAGTCTAAACCATTGGGTCAAGGATAACTTCTCACTTTCTTCTACAAATGTCAATGTTGCTTGCTGAAATTCTGTCTATGCCATTGATTGTAACGAGTACATTGAATTTTGAATTTACAAAAACTGGTATATATGTATAACTACTGAAAATGATATGAATAACAAGCTAAAACAAAATATTTGATAAGACATTTCAAATATGAAATTTTCAGGGGAGTTTGATAGAAGCAACTCACATGCAAAAATCACTTGGCAACCATCCTAGCAATGAAATCCTCATACCGGATCTTACCATCGGATCCAGCATCAACTTCTCGGATCCACTCATCAAATTCCGAAGGCTCAAGCTTCTCACCAATACTAGTTAAAATATGCTTTAGATCCGAAACAACAACGTAACCAGTACCGTCTTTATCAAGTACCTTGAACGCATCGCGTAATTGGCGATCAAATGGCTCCGGCTTTAGATGTTTCGACATGAGTTCCAAAAACCGATTGAAATCGAACGGGGATGTGAGTTTTTCCTCGGCGATTATTGATTTGAGTTGAGCTTGAGTCGGATTACCTCCAAGTGAACGCATTAGGATACCTAGCTCCGACGGTGAGATTTTGCCGTCGCCGTCGGTGTCGAAGAGAGTAAATGCCTCCTTCATGGAGGAGATTTGATCGTTGCTCAGATCTTTCCCCATTGTGCTCTTCGCCTTCTCTGTCTTTCTCTCTTACTTTTCTTCTCGTGGATTTTGTCAGATGAAATGGGAGTCTAAACTTGTGATTATATAAACTTGAGGGGTGTTTAACTAATTTATTCAAATTTCAAAACCATATTAATGAAATTATTAAAAAAAAATGTGAGTTTTATAGTTTAATTTTCATTCTATTTTTATCTAACTAAACTTCACTCCAACAATAACAAAGATATGTCGGTGTAATCTTACAAATAAAGTATGAAAGCTATAATTTGTATGGAGATTTACCCTTATTTTGTAAGTAGAAAAGTTGTTTACACTGAGTTTTTAGTTTGAGAAAAAACATAAAAAGTAGGTCGGAAAAAGAAATACAAAAATAAAGAAGCCACAATACAATATTAAAATTAGCATGACAAAATTTTTTGAAAAAAAAGAACATTAACTACAAAATAATA